ACATGGTGACCTTTAGTGATGTAATCCCTGTCAGTGCAAACACATCTGACGACATTCAATCACTGCTGAGTGCAATACTTGCCGAACACTTTGTAGACAAAGGGAACATAAGACCAAAGACATGGGTGACTTATCTACAAACCAAAATAACATCAACCCACAAATATGCATGCACATATGAATACATAAACTTACCAGCGAGTCTCTGAATGCACCACGTCTCAGCTGTCGCTCCAGTGCTGCAGCCTGATTTCTCACCTCTAATTCATACACTCTACGGCTGCCCTACACATAAACACACAATATATCAGCTCATACTCATATATACACACACATCTCAATACATACCACATGGTTCCAGACTCACTTCGATGTATTCCTCATCCAGCATCACATTCTTGTCCATGGCCTGCAGAACCTCCACATGGAACCACCAAAACTAAAACAAGACCAGCAATGAATCCAGTTTATGAATCCAATCAGACAGAAAGACTTGAAAAACGATTTACTTACCACACCCTCCACTTCAGCCGTCAGCTTCCGCTGGGTCTCCGATATCTGAATCAACACGTCACCTGGGAGACCAACAAATAGCCTACATTAATTTAATAATTGATCATGAATACATATTTAATAAGTGCAGAAACGGAAGAGTGGGTTTTTGTAAACGGTGTTAATATCATGGGGATCGATCACCAGCTTTTGTGATTGTTCAGTCGGTTGTGTCATTTAATGCAGTCAAACTGTAACAAACTAAGAGACCAGAAATAAGCAACTGAATTTGTTGATCATCTAGCATTAAAGGGATAGTTCACCAAAAATGTAAAATCTGTCATCACTTGCTTCACCTTCTTGTTCCAAACCTGTATGACTTTTTTTTCTGCTGTGAAACACAAAATAAGATATTTTGAAGAATGTTTTGTTTTTGTCCGTACAATGAATATCAATGGGGTCCAAAACAACATTTTTGGACCACATTGACTTTCAATGTATGGACAAAAATAAAAACATTGGAACATTTCTCAAAAATATCTTCTTTTGTGTTCTTCAGAATAAAGAAAGTCCTACAGGTTTGGAACAACATGGGGGTGAGAAAATTATGACAGAAGTTTCATTATTAATAACTTTGTTAAATTTTTATTAAATATTAATATTAAATATTACAGTTGATTCAATTGAATTGGTAATGATTCTTGTAAATTAATTAACTAATCATTCTCATAATTACGAATATTTGTCAATTATAGTTAGGATTTATTATAATTAAAAATATCTATAATTCATTATACCTAATTATATTAATTCTGGAAAAGTCCCAACATTTATCTTGTAGCTTGTCCAAAAAACATGGGACTTTTTAGTCTTTTATTAACATTATTATATGTGCATCGTAATGATGAGTGTAATGTGCTGAGGTGAATCAATGAATTTAAAGGGGTGAAAGAATGAGACCATGCATCAATAATTTAAGTCTCAATGCTCACATGGACACCTGATCTCTAACACACACACACACACACACACAGACACACACACACGTCTCTTCCCATCACATGCAGGTTTATATGCCTGTAGTAATTTTAAAGAGATAAAGACCCTTGTTTAATTCATGCTGTTCCATCTTTAAGCCTGTAAAACTTTTGTTCTGCTGTTCATCACTGCCACGGCGCTCTGAGCGTATGACTGGAATGAAAACTCATTACATGGGCAGTGAGCCGAGGGTTTCGCTGAGCCAAATCTTGTGTTTTATGACAGAGGAGAGGAAGCATCTGCCACTGGACACCGTTTGCTGAAACATCTATTGTCTGAAGTACAAACAAGCTCTGATACAGCCAGAAAGTATAGATAAAAACTCGGTGGACATCTTGCTGCACAATCTGCCCAACTGGCATTGGTTTAGAGACGCAAAAACACACACATTTTGAGTCTTACCAAGTGATCTGGATGATAATGTGTTGAGAGCTTGCTCGCCCATCTTAGCAAGAGCGCTGAAGTAGGCCTCGCTGGTCAGAGCCAAAGCTTTGATAGACACACACACACACACAAACATCATACATTTAGGCATTTTTCAGCATTTACTAATGATAATAGCAGCTAAAACCAGCCTTTGGTGGTTTGCTTGTTTTCCAAGCTGGTTTTTAGCTGGTATTTAATCTGACTAGCTGATAAGTGCTCTCTAAAACCATCAAAACAGACCAGAATATGGCAATCCACGCTGGGAGACCAGATGACCATCATAGGCTGGCTTAAGCAAGGCTTTTTTCAGCAGGGTTGGCATTTATTACGTCTTTTGAAGTAAAAAAAAAACCAAAACAAACAAAAATAATAAAACACACACACACACAAACAATTTTAACAAAAAGAAAAACAAAAAAATTAACAAAATAAAAACTAAACTAAACAACTTAGACAAAACAATTTTAACAAAACAAAAACAAATTTTCGCAAAATAAAAAACAAAACAAATTGTAATAAAACAACTAAACACAAATTTTCACAAAACAAAAATCCACAGATTTAACAAACAAAAAACGGAAAAAAAAACTAAGAACAAAATGTTTAACAAAAAGTAACATAAAAGCGAATACATTTTAACAAAACAAAAAAATGAAAAACAAAATAAAAAATTCAATTCATTTAATACAAAAAAAGTAATAAAATAATAATAATAATAAATAAAACAGAGAACAACAAAACAAAAATAAAAGAAAGGAAACAAAACAAAAACTAAACTAATTTTCACAAAATAAGCCCACAATTTAAAAAAAAACAAAAACAAAAAAGTAACACAAAAATTAAACAAAAGAGTAAAGAGTAGAACAAGAAAGAGTAAAACAAAACTTCAATACATTTAATTAAAAAAAGTTCAATACACTTTTAGCAGTCTTTGTGTTTGAAAACAAACACACACTTTATGCTCACCTTGAAAAGCCTTGATGTAGCTGTTTCCTAAAGTAACCAGCTTTTGCAAGCCAGGATTAAACTGATCCATGAGGTTCTGAATAACCCAAAACAACACCGTCATACTGTCAATATCAATGCTGGGGCATCAGAAATACAAGTTAGTGATACAGCAAATGTACAGTTAGCTAATGATCTCAAAATAAATGGCAATAAATAATGATTGGCTGAAAAATTGAAATTGACTCAAATCTATTTTACTATGTCCAAAGTGACTGCAGAACAATACAAAAGACGTAAAACCAGCACAGATATGTTTGAAATCAATTGCATGGGACAACAATCAATAGTGTTTATTTATATAAAAATATTTGACCGCAGAACATCACGAGTGACCAATCAGAATCCAGTATTCCAGAGAGTCTGGTAATAACATTAATAATTAATGAGCATTCGCGTTTGATCTCAGCTTAAAGGAGAGTATCAGAAGACTCACATTATAAACACTCAAGGTTGATCTATGTAGAAGGTCACTGTTCGCACCAGACATCCTGTTTCTGTCGGAAAGTACACACTTAATGCTACACAAACCAACAATGACCATGTAAAAATCAACTTCAGAGAACATTATCAAAACATTTACAGAAAAGCACTGAAGAGACTGCTTTACGTACCTGTGATAGTGAAAGTTTTCACGCTGTAGTTATTCTAAGTGTGCTGACACACTCTATTTATGTCTGTAATGGGTTTTTTCAGGTCTCTGTTAATGCCTATTATAGGGCGAGAAAGGGTGAGTAAAAGAGAGAGAGAGCGAGGAGTCCACATCTGATACGGCCTGGTGTTTTGAATTATTTACCTGTCCCATGACAGACCGTGGAGAAGGGCGGCCGTCTGACAGGCGAGGCGGGCAGGAGATAGATACACACTTGAACTGAGAGAACAGCTGTAGAAGTGACACTCAACTACAATCACAAGCACGGAAAACAACTCATTCCTGCTCATTTTCATGCAGCAATGTGACTAAAAAGTTCTTGTATAGGTTTTTGTATAAAACATTAAATAAATGTATGAAGTACAAAATTGAAGGTACTTTAAAGGTGACATATCGTGAAAATCTGACTTTTCCAGGTTTTAAGTGCTATAATCAGGTCCCCTGTGTATCTACCAACCAAGGAAACATGAACAAGATTAACCCAGTAACTTTGTTTTGGGAAGCCTTTTTCTGCAAGGGTCTGAGAAAACAAGCACGTCTGATTTCGCTCACCTAGTGACATGGCAAAGGGATCTCATTATAATATTACCGCCCCTTAATCTGTAAGTTTACACCCAGGCGCTGTCATTTTGATTTCGCAAGCGACAACAGTGTACCAGCTCTAATGCCATGGCGAAAGTTTGAGCAAAACATGCTAACTGTTCTGTCTTTGGCTGCACAGACGAGCACAGAACAGTTTAGAGTCCCAGCCTCAGAGGAGATAAGAGAGCAGTGGATTTATTGATTTATTTAGGCTACTGTATATTGCTGCTGCCACACAGATAAACAAGCAATATAACAATCTAATATAAACAAGCGATTTCTTTCCCAGCTGTTTACCTTCACAGACATAACCCACTCTAAATTATATAATAAATGATCTGTGTAATATTTTGAGCTGAAACTTCACAGACACATTCTGGGGACACCAGAGACTTATATTACATATTGTAAAAAGGGGCATAATATGTCACCTTTAAGTATTGTGTAAAATCATATTTACAGTAAAAAAAAAAAAAAATCATCTCATACATTTTTGACCAATAAATCTCTAAAACACTTCCAGTTGTACAGCAGAGCATAAAAAATAATAGTATACGAAATAATAACAATACTAAAACTTGAATAATAATAATAATACATTAAATAATTAACATTTCTTAGCTGATTAGATTATCATAAACCCTGCTTATTACAATATACACACTGAAAAAGATAGATATATAAACACTTTTTCACTCTGAAATTGCTAGCAAATTTCACAATTAAGTACAAAGAAACCATAAGTAACACATTGAATTAAACATGAAAATTTTACCATTTTTATTTCACATATACAAAATGCCAGAACTAATCCTAGTTTGAATAATTATCTGTGCTTTTTATTTCAAGTTTATATCACTTAAGTAAAAGGTTTCAAATCAGTACCACAGCAGCAGGTTATACGTAAACAGTGAATAAATGCATATTTTGGTCTCTGAACAACAGATCTGTAGGTCCAGTGTTAAGTTATCACCATGTTTTTTGTAGAAAAATGAACCGTAAATTTGTTATCAATAAACCAAACAAAAATACAACAAGGCTAATGAGAAATACAAGAGGTTTTCAAGTTATACTTGATGCATATCTGTTGTTAAAAACATCAGTATATTATACATTATCTTAGTTCATAATTTCTACACTTCACAGACAGAGAATTTATCAGTTGCAGGCTTGCAGCTTAAAAATGTTCAAGTATGCAAGGTTACATATCGCAAATAACACACGAGAGACAGCACACAGAAACGCTATGAAGATCATTTCCAAGTGCAAATAAATAAATGCACACACAAATAGTAAATGCAAGGAAGTACTCAGTATTCAATCACAGTGGCTATACTTTGACCCATGACTCTCACAAGAAAATTCCAGAAAAAGTGTCAATTTCTCTATAAATGTCACACATGATAAAATGAACAAAATGAATTGATAAATCATTATTTATTGATAAATGAGTAAAAACATTGCTTCAACGGAAGCACCTACTCACTTCCTTTTTAGTTCACCTTAATGCAAATGTCAAACATAGAACATGTTAACTGAGCAATTTAGCATACATAAAATGTAATGCAATATAAAAATATCTCACAGTTCAAATATTGGATTGGGTAGTGGAAGTTCCTATAAAATGACACTCTGAATCCTTCATGTATGTTGTTATACTGCATTAACCTTGGTCCAATTTGGTTTTTATGACATATGGGGAAAGCATGTTATAATTAAATAGATATTTTTATGAATATTCTGCCTTTAAATAAATCGAACATGTCAGAACAACATACACACACACTAATGTAAACAGATTCATTATTGCATATTAAGCCACCAAACCCTGTTGATCAGCCTCAGTCTGGAAGCTGTTGTCAGAGCTGCAGCAGCTGCTGGCAGAGGGTCTGTATGACATCTCTGTGCTCGTACAGGTACATCTGAGTCTCCCACAGCATGTCAACTAGCACAGCGTCACTGACCTCATCCAGCATCACCTCCTGAGACAGCGGAGGACTCAACCTGAAGCACAAATGACATGAAATGCGAGAGGGAAGGGAGGGAGTGGAAGGAATGAAAGTGAATAAAAAGGTAGAAATGAAATTGAGTAATGTGTATAAATGACAGGAAACAAAATGATAGGAGGTAAGAAATAAAAAGGAAAGAAAGAAGGAAAACAAGAAGAAAAGAATCAAAAGGTAGGGATAGAAGGGAAGAAATGAATGGAAGCATGGAATTAAGTGAAATCAAATGTAGGAATGAAGGAAGGAAAAGAAATGATAGAAGAAGGGAAGACATTTATGGTGAAATTAAAAATGAAATGAAATGATAAAAGTGAGAAATGAAGAAAAATAAGAAATTAAAAGAGGGAAGGAAGGAAGGAAATAAAATTACACAACCAGGGAAAATTAAATGTGAAGGAAGGAATGATGGAAGGAAAGAAGTTAGGAAGAAAGGAATTAAATGAAAAACGAAGGAAATGATAGAAAGAGGGAAGAAATGAGGTGAAATGAAGGAAAAATGAAGGGAAGGAAATGAAATAGAAATAAATGATAGAAAGGGGCAAGAAATTAGGTGGAATTAGGTAGGAAAAAGGAAACAAGGACAGGGAGGAAAAAATGAAAGGTAGAAAGGAAGGAAGGAAAAGTAGGTAGGAAGGAGAGAAGAAAGGATATTGAAGGAAGGAAGGTTGGAAGCAAAAGGAAGGACGGGAAATGAAAGTTAGCAAAAAGGAAGGAAGAATGGAAAGAAGAAAAAAAAAATAAAGAAAGGAAGGAAGGATGGATGGAAGGAAGAAAGAACCAAAAAGAAGGGTAGGTATGATAAAAAGGTACAAAATGAAACAAAAGGAAGGATGGAAGGAAATAAAATTACAGAACAAGGGAAAATTAAATGTGAAGGAAGGAAAGAAAGAAGGTAGGAAGAAAGGAATTAAGAAAAATGAAATGAAAATGGAAGGACAAGAGGGAAGAAATGATGTGAAATGAAGGAATAAATGAAACAAAGGAAGAAATAATAATAGGAAAGAAATAAAAAGTAGGTAGGAAGGAAATAAAATAGAAGTAAAGGGTAGGTAGGAAAAGGCAGAAAATGAAACAAAATGAAGAAGGGAAGGAGGGGAAGGACAGAAATGAAGGGTATTGTAGGAACGAAGAGAAAAAAAAAAAAAGGGAATAAAGGGAACAAAAGAAGAAAACAAATGACGGAAAGGAAGAAAGGAAATTATAGAAAGAAGACATGAGGGAAGGAAGGAATGGATGGAAAAAATGAAAATAAAAAGAAACATAATGAAATGAAAAGAGACAGTGGAGGCCGTGAGCCAGAAAAAAAAATGATAGGGCATAACAATGCAGAAAAGAAGAGAGTAAAAAGACATGAAAGGACAGACAGAAGGGAGAGAATATCATTATTACCTCACAGAACAGAAAGATTGCAGAGATTTGCATAAGCCGTAACATAACCATTCAAATGAGGCTATGAATGAGGGTCATTTACTCACAACTGACCTGTGATAGTTTATATCGGCCATCTCACACCACGCTCGGGCTCGGTCCACTGCACACCCATCTGAGTCTGTACACTGACATAAAAAACAAAAATAACGCATTTAATGAAAAATGCCACCAGCACAACAACCAACCATCACAAAAAAGTGCCTACAACAATGCTACTTCTAAACAAGTGACTGAAGGTTTTTGTGAAGTTTGTATATGTAAACTCACACAGTCCACAAGCATCTTGCCCAGTTCTCTGACACCAACAAAGCTCTTGGCCAGCTCCAGTGGATTCGAAGGCCTGAAAACGTCCACCGAGTTGACCGCCACCTGAGGAGGTTTACCGGTGCCCAATGAGACGACCACACCTAACCTGCACACCTCTGATTCACGGCCCTGATGGAGCGAGAAAAAGATGGCCGCTTAACTGGAATACATTTACACCATTTCAACAACGTCCAGAGGACTCTAGTCAGGCTTGACATTGCATTTCATTTGAAGCAGAAAAGTAGCAGTCCGTTTAATAGACTGTAGTGTTAATGTAACCAATCCTGGTCCTGGACGTCCAATGTCCTGCAGAATTTAGCTTCAACCAGCTAAAATAAACTTGTCTGGAAGTTTCTAGTAAGTTTGAAGACCTTCTTTAGCTGGTTCAGGTGTGTTTAATTAGGGCTGGAGCTAAACGTTGCAGGACAGTGGCCTTCCAGGAACAAGTTTGGACACCCCTGATTAAAGCCCAAAGTATACTTCAGTTTTGACGTGAATGCTTAGCATATGCATGCAGCCAAACTCAACAAATAGTCTTACTGCTTTTCCACTGGGGCTGGTGCCGGAGCCGGTGCTCGGCCAAGAGTGGCACTCGTTCAGAACCAGCTCGTGTTTCCACCGGCAGGGAGCAGAATCCTCTCCGTCACCAACCTGTGACTGGAATCACTTGTTATCTCTTGCGGAAGGAGAGCGTTGGTTTCTTCTGCCGACCACGGCTGAGTTGACATGACGCTAAAAAAAATGCTGGTCCAGAACCAATCTGGACACTGGCAAAGTATTTTTTAAAGTGGAAAAACGCAGCCCGGTTCCCAGTTGGGCTCTAGTACCAGCCCCGATGGAAAAGTGGTAATAGTCAACTCCGGTTGATAGTGTGCGCAAACACAGGCGACTGACATATGCGCACTAGAAAGTTTCATCCTTGTCCAGTGTCTGCACTATTTCTCTTCAGAAGTTACGACCGATAAAAATGTTTGTACTCTTTTAAACTAGAGTTGTGGGTATCTCTTGCCCCTCAAACAAGTGCTCGTCAACATGGCCGTCTATTGTTCTTGCTTCCCCAGTAGTTTGAGGTTGTACAGAGTAACAGAGTAGGTACGGTTTGAGAAAAAAATAATCATACTTTGCACAAACAATATCTTCTTCTGATAGCAAAATGTATTGCTTAAGTAAATACCAAAGTATACTTTGGGTTTTGGGTCACATCTGATTTTCAAAACCCTTTGGAGTAATCAACTGGATTTTTTTAAGGACGTATGATTTCTCAGCTACATTTTTATATTATACTAACTAAAACCCATTGTATGAAATATTGGTGATATTGCAATGAACCATGATGCATTCAATTACATTTCTAGCTAAAAGTGAGTCTTTAACAGGTAATTCTTATGACCAAATGTATGTATCAGACCTGTGCCTTCAGGGCTTTGTTGTACTGGTGTATTTCTGCCATGGCATCTAGCGTTGGGTTATTGGCCAGCAGCCCTCCATCCAGAAAACGGCCCATTGGTCGAAAGTACGTAGGAGCAGCTCCACTGGAGCGGGCAGCACGCCAAACTAATTGCTCTGAGAGAAAGAGAATGTGACTGAGCGAGAGCACAAAAGAGAACCTAGAGTGCACAAGATGATTAGCCTCCCACAAATAAACTAACGACCTTTAGTTCCAACGTGGGGTACGACTGCGCACCAAACACCAAAACTGTGACCCCTCCATTCCACACACACACTCTCTCTCTGTCACACACACACACACACCTTCATCCGTCACCTTCCTACGCTTTCTGGGGGGTCGAGTATATCCTACTACCAAAAGATCTTCGTCCTCCCATCCTGCAACAGTGACAATGAAGCTTTACGCATCATTTGAGATTGAGGATAACTAAGAAACCCAGAGCGCGGCAACATGCTCATAAAGGGCAGGAGCATGAGTGATTTCACCGGCACAAAGATAATTAGCATAACGACATCCCAAGAACGAAAGCACACAAGAGATTTACCTCGCGGCACAGTAAGGGGTTGAAATGTGGCTGTAGATGTGTACGGAGGGTCTCTTTGCAGGGCTGGTGGGTCGTAATTACGAAACAGATGCAGTTCTCCAGGGTGTCTGTCTGCAAGAACGCTAGTCACAATTACTCTGAGAAAAACAGACAGAAGCTGTATTAAAAACATGTATTTTCTGAAGAATATGTGTGATGTTGGCTTGTACCAAACTACGAGCTATCAGTACTTTTTGCTAAGGCATTGTGAAGGAGTTATGGCTATAGTTGCTAGGGCATTACAAAAAGAGTACTCGGTTGGTGCTAGGGTGTAGCTAAGGGGTGTTCAGAGTTATCACAAAGGACATTCTGGGCGGCTGCTACAGTAGGGAATTGCTAGGGTGTACTGGGTCATTGCTAAGGCATAGCTAGGAAATTTTGAGTGTTTGTTATTCTAGGTCAGTGGTTCTCAAACTTTTTACAGTGGCGTACCCCCTGGGGCATTTAACATCAAGTAGCCCAATTTCGCGGGAAAACCACGGATTTGGCACACACTGACTCGAGCCAACTCTGCTCTAACTGTCGACTAGCAGTGGGAGTCAGATTGCCCCCTAGTGGATGGCTAAAGATTTGTTAACTCATATTCATAATTTTTCAAGGGAACGTCTCTGAATTAACTGATGCTCGCGCCCCCCTTGACAGGTGCTGGCGCCCCACAGGTTGAAAACCCCTGCATTAAGGGACAATATTTGCCCCCTTAAAGTGATTTACAGGTGCATTTTTTTACCTTTAGGGAGGCAAAGTTTTTCTAGCCTTATTAATTGTATATCATGTTTTGTCATATTCTTAACATGCCATTAAGTGTATTATTAATATAATAAATAAAACAATAAATGATGGCAAAACGAAGTGAATCTTGTAGATTTAAAACTAAAATCGCCAGTAGGTGACGGCAAGTCACTGTCTTAATGAGCATCGCGTCAATCAATCATTCATTCATTCAGTAATGAAGCAAATGGCTGTAGTTATGAATAGGTTATTAATCACTGACTCTCTGAATCGTTCAAAGCTGCAGATTCCTTCACTAACGAAACACCGCTGTTGCTTGGAGACGCACACCAGTTCTGTCACAGATTTCGTTGGAACTATTATTTCGTTGTAAAATATAACAATCAATAATTAACAATATTGTATTTAAAATGTAGGCTACATTTAAAATGTAAAATGTTCACTTAATATTACCTTTTTTGTTGAACTGTTATATAAAATAAATGTCACAGTTGCAATCGTTTGAATATTCAGGGAAAATTGCATTCTTGCTCGTATTTTAGACATGAAAAACAATAACTCGGACAGGGTATGTTTCTGTATCGAAGAGTTTCTTAAATCGATCTCTACGTATAGTCCGTGTCAATATTTGTTCTTCGTGCTATAAGTGCTACAAATCTACTTTGAAGATACAATGAACAGCAGTGCGAATTGCTAAAGCAGCATATTCTGCATAATACGCACGCTGCTTGTGTGGTTCAGTCAGTTTTGACCGCAAAAAGGAGGTAATTTGATGTCATTTGACCATTTACGGCACTCCCATTTTCCTGTTTTTATACTAGAAGCGCCATTTTGCTTGTCAGAAATACATGCTCGGTTTTAATGTTACTTTAAGTTGGGGTAGAATTAAAGGAATGCTAAAGCTCAGCATTTTGTTTGTGTACCCCCTCCGTCACCTCACGTACCCCAGTTAGAGAACCACTGTTTTAGGTGGTTGCTAGAGCATTGCTAAGTGTTTAACAGGGAGTTCTAGGTTTTTGCTTGGGCATTATTAGGGTGTTCTGGAGGTTGACAGGCAGAGGCTGCCATTGTAATTTGGTGGCCCATTTAAAAAAAAAAAAAACATTTGGAGGAAATGGCTGCTTATATTGCCAGGGTGATGTTACGTTGGTGTAGTTGGTGGTGTGATTTATGAGGCATTGCTAAGTAGCTGATAAGATGTCGAGTCATTAGAGCATTTCGGTTTGTTGCAAGGGCATTGCTAGGAAGTTCTGCACAGTGGCTAGACAGTTGTTAGGGTGTTTCAGATGGTTACTAAGGTATTGTAAGATGTTCTGAGTGCTAACATTGGTTATGTTTTGGGTGGTTGCCAAACAGTTGTTGAGGTGTTCTGAGTGGTTGCTAGAGCATAGCTTGTGTGTACTGGTCGCTGAAAGGGCATTGCTAGGCAGTTGAAAGGATGTTGTGGGTATTTGCTAAATAATAAGTGGTTGCTAGGGTGTTCTGGTAGGGGATGTGTTGTTTGGTTTCATAAAATCCCAAACCTTAAGTACCTGGGGTGTGTGACGTCAGTCATCTTGGTATTTTCTCCGAACTCATTCTTGAGAAATTCCTCCAGAGGGCCAGACTCATACGGTCGAGAACCTTTAAATACCTGTTCTTTCATCCTGAAGTACAGACAGCGCAGATACTCCATCGATTTACCTGCTCACGTACACAACAAACACAATTATTCTGATGCATGTACACACAGTCACCAAGAACATATTTTATAATTACATCAAGCGTCATTCTGTTCTGGATGCTGATTGGTCAATACGGTGTCATAAATGTACTATATGCTATATCAAATACCGTGTACAATTGCTAGGGCCAGTATGCCGCCAGTGCTAGTCCCAGACACCCAGTCAAAGAGTTCCCTGATGGGCCGTCCTGCCTCCTTCTCCAAAGCGATCAACATCTGGATCAGAACCAGTCCCTTTATTCCTCCACCGTCTAGACACAGCAATCTGTCCATTCTTGAGAAAAAGAAGAGCGAGCGAGTGATCAATTCTGTGTAGGCTTGTTTTAGCCATGTTAACGGCATGTAACATACTTCTTGCTTCCTGTCTTGAGCCCATCAACCTCTGCAAATCCACGACTCATGGCCGTCACAGCTACTGCCACATTCAAGATGTCATCAAACCCTGTGGACCAATTATGGGAAAGATATGAAAGCAGCAGTGGACCAAACTGGAGGCAAATTGATTCTATCATAGATTTGCGATATCTAGATACCACTTTTATTAAGAAGTGTGATACGCAAATTGGAAAGGTCAATAAACACCCGTAAACACATGCAGGTGAAGATGCAACAAGCTTTGTCAGCATTTTTAACTGTGAAACACTACCCTCTTTTGTCTCGCCGGTTTGCATCATAGGCTGTACTGTCATGGGATTTATGTTGGTGTAATTATAGTAGGTTGGTGAATGATTGTTTGCGTTCAACCCAAAATGTTGACCTTTCCAAGATGGCAGCTGTTGCTGACAAATCTGGATTAGTCAAATGGGGCATCTAGGTATGCAAATCTGGTTTCTATGACCACAGGAAGCTTTAAATAAAATAAATAGATTTAGAAATACAATTAGCACAGAAATGAAGAAACAAAATGTAAAAAAACAGAAACAAAATCTAAATAAAAAAAATGTAGGAAGTGATGGAAAAAAGGGCAGAAAAAAGAGAGGACACAGTTTTGGTGGCCATTAAGCACTTATTTAAAATTCATGTTTAATGACAAAACTTGAAGTTAATATTTCAATAGTAATAATTAGTATTTAAATGTGTACATTATGTTCCAAAAAGCAGACAGTAGAGGTCGACCGATAGTGGATTTTACCGATAGCTAGGCTGGACCACACTGGCCGATACCGATTAATCAACCGATAGTTTTTAAAATGGTAAACAAAAACTAAAACAGCGCTTTACTATTTTTAAAAAGCAGTAGCAGCACTGAACCATACTTTGTAAATGAATAAACATATTAATATTAATTATTATATTGATCATTAAAGTTATTTCATAGTTTACTAATGTTAAAAAAAGAAACTTTCAAATGTAAAAATATAGCCTATTAGTAATAGTAAATGTTGAAATGAACACACTAGGAACAATACTTTTACAGCTTTCATTAATATTACAAAAGAGCTCTTACTGTAAAGTATTACCATTTAATTTCAACAGTCATGCTAACTTAAAAAATTTAGGAGCACAGTCAAAAATTTAGGAGCACCAAAATTTGATAAAAAAATAGCCTTCCCATTACGAGGTGATATTTGACTCCTTAAAGTGATTTACAGTAGAATTTTGTTTTTACCTTTGTAATGGCATTTTTCTATCTTTATTAAAAGTATGTAATCTTTTATGTCAAATTTAAAAAAATGTAAAAATATAGCCTATTAGTAATAGTAAATGTTGAAATGAACACACTAGGAACAATACTTTTACAGCTTTCATTAATATTACAAAAGGACTCTTACTGTAAAGTATTACCATTTAATTTCAACAGTCATGCTTAAAGATGGCCATCTTTAAATATCTACACAAGGCCATAGCATTAAAATTACATACATATGTTATTGATATTGTATGTGTACTCTCACACTTTATTTGCTTATATTTTAGAACACTGCATGATTATCTAATCAAAAAAAAAAAAAATGCAAGTCACACACTGGACAAAAGCGCAGCGATGCGTTCATGGAGAAGTCACACACCAGACGCGTCACTTTCAATTCAAGCAGCGGTCTAAAACTGTTTATTTAATCACCAAACGGACATAAGTTTGCTTCAAGAATGAACAATGTGGCATAAATGAGTTTGAAGTTCGGTGTTTAAAAAAAACAGCAAAGAGAAAGTGCGATCTGTATTACAGCTCTCTATATGAAGCACAAAGACACAGAGACTGTATTAGAGCCACAGAAAGAGCACAATACATAATTTATAGCCTAGGGTGAAGTCATTACGTACATTAACAATGATTTGGGACAAATATAATGTAATTTAATGGAAAACTATGTGAATGGCGCTCTGTTCCGCTGCAGGATTTTCTTTTGAGTTTGAAGTTTCCCGCTCTGTGCAGCGCGCAGTGTCACGTGTCAAAACAAACAACACGTGCTGTTAGTGATTTCCGCCTCTAGAGGCCGCTCTCGTACCGTATAATGGCAGCGGACCCTTCTCAGCCACTCCAGCAACGGACGCAACCCGGAAAACTATTGGCATTGAATTTTGCCGATAACCGATAGTTCCGCCAATCAACTATCGGTGCCGATTAATCGGCAAAACCGATTAACGGAGAAGGCCCTCCCAGAATGCTCTGCAATGAGTTCAGCAAAAATATTCATTCAAAATGGCGGTCTAAATAAACAGAAATGCCGATTTACTTGTGTGCCAAAAAATTAGTTAAAGGGATAGTTCACCCAACTACCCCATGATTTACTCAACCTCTAAGTCATCCTAAGTGCATATGACTTTCTTCTTACAGACGAATACAATCGGAGTTATATATAAAAAAAATGTTCTGGCTCTTCTGAGCTTTATAATGGCAGTGAATGGGGGTTGAGATTTTGAAGCCCAAAAAAATGCATCCATCCATCATAAAAAGTGCTCCACACAGCTCCGGGGGATTAATAAAGGCGTTCTGAAGCAAATCGATGCTTTTTTGTAAGAAAAATATCCATATTTAAAACTTTATAAACCGTCAACTCTCACTTCCGCTAACTGTCGTTCACGTGAGAGTAGCGGAAGACGTAGGATAGCTCCGACTGGATTTGTCTAAAAGAAGAAAATCATATACACCTAGGATGGCTTGACTGTGAGTAAATCATGGGGTAATTTTCCTTTTTGGGTGAACTGTTTCGTTAATTTACCGATTATTTTACAGAATATTTTTGTTTTACACACTTATTAGAGTGTCATGTTGCTAGCTTAGCAACATGCTAACGCCAAAACATTGCTGAAATCAATTCGTGAGTCGGGTCATGTGAGGAACCCCATTTGTATAACACAGAGTTGTTGCCTACATGGAACGTTCCACTCATTAGGTTGCATTTCATTTAGTATGCTGCCTATGTAGGCAGAAGCTAACCAGGTTTTGGAACAAAGTCACATTTGCTTCTCTGAAGACTACTGAAATAACGACATAAAAAGAACAGAAGATGACTGAAGGACAGAGGTGAAAGATACTGGCAAGAAAGCTGAAAGTTTGGGGGCGGGGCTTTACCTATGCCAGGAGGCGGAGCTTTGTTGACACTGAGGATAGGGCTGTTGAGGGAGGGGGGGTGGCACCGCTCGGCCCCTACACTAAACAGCATGTTCAAGAGCACCTTACGGTTGGGCCCTTCAGCATAAGCGCAGGATTAGACACACGCATGCCGTCACACCCACACCATGCACACGGAAGAAAGAAAGAATGAGTATGAGTTGACTGAATGCATGAATGACAAAACAAAAGAGCATGACATTTCATTCTTGTAGTCAAACACCTAGATGTGCAAAAACCGTCAAGACACGCAAGCGTCACATAGTTTGTGGTAATGATCTCACAAGGATTACTACAGACACTCAAAACATCAGACATATCAGACAGCTTCTGCTGGTTTTTCCAGAGAATATCTACTGTAGGCTCCTTATGATGCTGAAGACATGTACCACCTTTTTTTCCTATTTAAATTTTTTTGGGAATAAATAAATACGTTTTAATAAACTGATAAATAAATACATTTCAAATAAATAAATTCGTAAATATAAATTTTAAAGAAATACATATTTTTTAACAAATATTTATTTTTAAATGAATAAATAAAATGTTAAACAAATTAATGTTTTAAATAAACAAATATGTATTTTTTAATTTGAAATGCATTTTTAAAAAATGTTTACACAAATTATTATTAATAAATAAAATAAATAAATTATTTATAGGGGTCATATGATGTTGCTAAAAAGAACATTATTTTGTATATTTGGTGTAATGAAATGTGTTTATGCGGTTTAAGGTAAAAAAAAAACACATTATTTTGCACATACTGTACATTATTGTTTCTCCTCTATGCCCCGCCTTTCTGAAACGCGTCGATCTTCCCACATCGTGACGTAGACATGTGGGGCGTGTTAGAACGAGCCGTTTTAGGTAGGCGTGGTTAACTCCTAACTTTTATAAAGAATATCTCTTTGGATTTGAGACTTTAGTCTTTGCAACTTTACAGATCTTGTTTATGCACCAAGAGCTTGTAACACTTCAAAGAGAAAGGAAAATTTTTTAAAAAGCATCATATGACCCCTTTAATTCTCAAAAAAACAAACAAAAAAAATAGACTACTGGGCCCGTATTCACAAAACATCTTAAGGCTAAAAGTAGCTCATAACTTGCCAAATTAGGAGAAAATTTTGCAAATAATGGGCGTCAGTCCTAAATTTAGGACTCCTAAATTTTTGCTCTAAGAGTATTTAGCACTAAAACTAGCTCCTAAATCTGTGAAACATTAGGAGTAGTGAAGATGACTCCTAAACAGAGGTGGACAGTAACGAAGTACATTTACTTGAGTACTGTACTTAAGTACACTTTTTGAGTATCTGTACTTTACTTGAGTATTATTTTTTCTGGAAACTTGCTACTTCAACTTCACTACATTTGAAAGACAAATATTGTACTTTTCACTCCAATACATTTCTATCAAGGTTCTCGAAGTAGAAAGTCGTTACTATGTAGCAGCTTTGAAAGTGGGTGATTTTCTTCTCTTAGTTCACCCAAAAATGAAAATTAGCTTGTGTTTTACTTACCCTCGAAGCATCCTAAGACTACAATGTAAATAAAACTTAGGTGAAAACAGAAAATATAAAATAAAAGCAAATTTAAATTAAAAGAATATTATTTTACCTCATATTTTTTTGTCAAATAAACTGTCAAAAAAATAATAACAATTTAATTAAACATTTTACATTTGAGTTTTGAATTCTCAATAAGTATAAAATTAATAAATGTTTATTATGTATTATTTACTAGTAAATGTGTTTGTTTTTTTACGCAACACATTTTTATTATTATTTTAATCACTTTTTGTTTTATTACAAATTAAAGGCAGTACAACAAGTACTATTATGACACATTTTACAATATAAATTACACTTATATTTTAATAGATTTTTTAAAGTGTATATTTCTTTACATATATATTGAGGTGAAATACGAGCCAGAAATGTTCTTCACAGGCTTTATGAAATTCTCTCTCATACCTTCATGGCGAGGTGCAGTGCTGTGTTTCCATCCTGACCCTTAATGTTGGGGTCGGCTCCGTGGGTCAGCAGCGTCATTGCGGCCTCAAAGCGCCCCCTCTTGGTCAGGATGTGTAATGGACTCTCTCCGGTCTTGCTCAGGTAGTTGACGTTACATCCTCGGTCCAGCAGCACACGGCTCATCTAGAGAGAGAACACACAGGACAGTCAAATAACTAACACTTAGAATTCCTAAAGGACGAAAAAGAACAGGAAGTGTTCCTGACCTCGGCAGTCTTGGCCCAGTGAAGAGGCGTTCCGCCGTAAATCGGATCCTCCGCCAGAAGTTGATTTGGGTTGGTGTTTAAAATTGCTTCGGCACAACTAAAAGAGTGAGAATGATTTAGAAGCCTACAAGTGAATTATCAATTAAAAAGTGACAAAAAGATTCTTCTTCCGCACCTTTTCTCACTAAACTTCACGGCGGTGTGGATCGGATAGCCATTGCTTCCCATGACGTCACAGCAGGCTCCGCCCCCAACCAGGCCCTTGACCGCCTCGACCCTCCCGAGACGGCATGCAATGTGCATTGGTGTTTCCCCGGCGGCGTTCAACTCGTTCATACCCACGCACATCTGTGCACACAAAACCTACGAGCGACAAAAATACACAATCACAGACACCCGAATTTGGCATTCAGCAGATTGTATATAATCCCTAAGCTGACCTCTCACCTCTATAATAACAGCAGAGTCTTGTTTAGCAGCGCAGTGCATGGGCGTCTCTCCATTCTTGTCCTTGATGTCTGTGCGAGCCTGACACTCCTTCAGGAGCTCGCGTACGCAGCCCACATCTCCTCTCTCGCACGCCAGGTGCAGCGGGGTCTGACCCTGGGCGTCACGGGCGTTCATCTGACTGCAAGGGGCCACAGACAATCAGAATTTTTAAACATTTTGTTCTTGATTTAATGTTTATTATCGGACTCAGAAGAGATTTTTTACATGAGGTTGGTTTAAAAAACGGTCAGGTTTTTATCTCACTTATGCATATTGTGACAATGCTGCATGTTGCGTATTTTTTCACATTTTATTTTTTAGAAAAGAGTACAAAATAGGCAGCAAATAAGAAGTTGACGTCCTGTGGTGCGAACTCTGTGGAAAACCATTGTAAAGTTGTATTTTGTTGATTATTTCTATATTTGTAATTTAACTTTATGACGAGACGAATCTACTTCAACATGTGCTGATAACGGTATATAGCTAACGGTTTAAATTTATTCCCTTAATATTTCTCTTGTGGCCGTACAAAGTGAAAAAAAAAATGAGAAGAAACCTATTTCGTGTTAAACAATTCGTTTTTGAAAGTCGGTGCTTGAAATAGGCTCAATAAAGCTTTTTATTTCATTGATTTTTATTGATGACTGCAGTGTTAATATTTTAATTATAGGCCTAATTAATTGTATAATAGACCTGTTTTAAAAGACCTTTCTTAAAACATCTTAATTGGGGAGTAAATAGGCGTATCTGTTGTTATCCTCGCAACGCGTCAGTTATGCGGTAATACTGCGGGGCAGATTAATTGTAATTTTTATTTAATAGACTAATAAAATTAAATTATAAAAGTAACTTCATAATAATATTAATAGGCCTAATAAAAATAAGAATGTAACAGGCCTACATTCATTGGAAATGCCAAATCCTCTTATTATTGCCAATAATTGATGTTTTTGACAATATCTCTGGCTATCATCCATACAAGATCATCGCAACCCAGCAAGGAGAGGTTATCGCAGGGCCTTTCGCAGTGCGTGCCCGTCCACTAGACAGCACGTTGCCTGTTACATCGTTTAGGCTGCCTTGTTGAGCGCAGTGGCACTGAGAACATTATATTTCACACACTTTTATGCCAAGTTCACACTGCACGATATTAGCCCTGATTTTCACTCTCCGACAGATTTTGCGAAATCGCCGACAAATGCCCGAAATGACATGACAATCATGTGAATTATCAAAGACGCGATCTGAGGGAATCGCCGATGCGTTGCCGACGCCTCTAAAATATTTGGCATGCTAAATATCTGGACCTGTCGGCGATTCAAAATCCTGCTGTGTGAAATGAGTTCTGACTGAAACATACATCGGCGATGAACTACAGCCAATGAGAGAGCAAGATACAGGGCAGCGGGAAGCTCGGAGAGAAAATATTTTTATTTTTATTTTTTATTATTATGTGCGCACCGTACGGACACTCTAGACCATGCGTACGCAGTATTTTACTGGATGGAGCGAAATAATGAGGCAAACAGAATGATTTTAAAGTCTGTTATACATTTGACATAAACATTTAGATTAAATATGACACTCTGAATAATGAAGTTAAGCACTGAAATTTCATGAAATTATTATCCAGAAAAGTAACTTCATAATAATATTAATAGGCCTAATAAAAATAAGAATGTAACAGGCCTACATTCATTGGAAATGCCAAATCCTCTTATTATTGCCAATAATTGATGTTTTTGACAATATCTCTGGCTATCATCCATACAAGATCATCGCAACCCAGCAAGGAGAGGTTATCGCAGGGCCTTTCGCAGTGCGTGCCCGTCCACTAGACAGCACGTTGCCTGTTACATCGTTTAGGCTGCCTTGTTGAGCGCAGTGGCACTGAGAACATTATATTTCACACACTTTTATGCCAAGTTCACACTGCACGATATTAGCCCTGATTTTCACTCTCCGACAGATTTTGCGAAATCGCCGACAAATGCCCGAAATGACATGACAATCATGTGAATTATCAAAGACGCGATCTGAGGGAATCGCCGATGCGTTGCCGACGCCTCTAAAATATTTGGCATGCTAAATATCTGGACCTGTCGGCGATTCAAATGTATATGAATTTAAACAGAAATATTTGCAGTGGATGTGCTGCTTTCGAACAATTTTCCTGTGGTATGCGATTTAATGTTTTAATCACAGCGAGGATTGCTTGGCGCATGACAATTCCGCTTTAAATTGTGTTCTAAATAGCAGAACTCGTGTTCTGAGAAAATACTTTTGCACGAATACTGATCATTGATGTGAACTTGACTTTGTTTGATGGCTTTGGTACATAGACGGTAACGACAGACATAAGGATGCGCTCGTTGATCAAACAGTCCATTGGTCTGATGACAGTAGAACTGTTCACAGGTGTCGCGCACAGACAGTAGCCTAATGATATCCCTTTCGTGCTCTTCCCAATATTGTGACAAACACTACATTTAAAAGACAGAATTTGAAGGAAACGGTACGATATGCGCGTTTTATTTTCAAAATGTTTTGTTATTGATGCGGTGAGTCAGACAGCTATAGTTCCTCTGCAAAAAAAATAAGGCCTATCTCTTTCCATAAAAATATAGGCTATAAATATTCTAAAATATATGTTTACCTTTAAGGCAAACTACATAAATTAGAATAGTGATGTCTCAAATTGCATTTATAGTCTGTATCTCATATTTTCCTAACGTTTTCCTACCCTTAACTGCGTTAAGCGTGGTGTCACGTGGATGGAATATGCATGGAAATGATATGCAGATGACGTTATGCATATTAAAACTAGGCTACGTACGCAAAATCTAGCTTTTGTGCGTACGCACACATTTAGGATGAAATCTACGTAAAGTTTTATACATGAGGCCCCTGGTCTTTGTAAAAGATTATTTTATTCGCTTATGTTAGAAAAAGCAAATCTCTTTAAAAACGGTCTGTTGATTTCACTTCATTGCATTGTTATAATTCGTAAAAGTTGTACCCGCCAATTAATAATAATTAATAGTACATTTAATATAATTAAACATTTAATGTGGAAACTTCTCAGATACAGTGTATGTGACCTTTGAACTTTGTCCTTTGACGTCTCACCTCAAAACGTAATTGTGTTTGAGACAGTCTCTCAGTCCAGTATATACGGCGATGTGAGCCGAGCTCCAGTCGGGGTGATTCCGCACGCAGTCCACGATTGGCTGGAACATTTCAGGTTTCAGCGGTGGGCGGAGCATCTCATAAAATGGGCGGAGTTTGAGGGCATACTGAGGAAACCAATTCATGGCGTCTTCCTCTGAAGCTACCTGGAACATCCTGAGCACAAAGATATCAAAATCACAGTTCCAGTCATTCCGGAAACCCACATATGATGAGCTAATGAAGTGGATGACAATGTAAAGCCATATTCAGGACGGTGGCTGATGGGAAAGCAAATCTGTTCAACATACTGTGAAGCAATATGGGAGTTTTTGCAAGATTATGATGAAATCACAGGACCCTAGTGACTTTTTACAGGAAATCAATTTATTGACTGAAGATGGGTCACGCTGTATTGTGAAGCTTAACTAAAGGGTCTCACCTCAGAGCCACAGATGAAGTCTCGGGGCAGAGAAGCAGGCAGTCCCATGAATGGCTCTGTTGGTTCTTGTACAGGACCAGCCTGCCCTCCTGTTTCAGTAGCACTTTGCCATTATAATCCGACAGCTGCACATCTCTCACACGGTACGGGTTGGAGAACAGAGTCGACACGGAGCTCACCGTGTCCAGGATACGGCCCAGGAACTGCATGGTGACCTGGAGTAAGGGTGGGGAGTGGAAAGCTGATGCATTGATCAGGGTTCTCATATCATTTGACAAATCACATAATTTTGAGATTTTTGGTTAAGTATCTTAAAAAAGAATAATAATAATTAAAAAAAAAAAAATCATTGTACTTTCCCTCTTCCCTATTAATATATATCTCCTGATTTTTGTTTTTTTTGTTTTACATTTTATGGGTCTTTATGGGTCTCATCCATGTCCAGCTATTTTTAGCTGTACAAAACCGCTCGTTTTGCTGCTTGATATTGCAAATTACCATTTTATTTTTGTTTATTATCTTAATTATGAACGCACTGGTTTGTAATGCAAACAGTTTTACTGTTTACTGCACGTCGTTATTCTTCTCGTTATTTTCCTATAGCGGCTAATGAACCGGAAGTCTCGCCCATAGGCTTACTTCCGCGTTTAGGAATAAGGTGGATACAAAAATCTTATGACCCTAACATTTTGATATTATGACCTTTGATTCTTAGAATCTTATCACTTTTTTTTTTTTTTTAAAGATGTTTTTGTATTTATTTTTAAAAAAGATTTTTCAATTTATTAGTTTATTTCAGATTACTGGTTAAGGATTTTTTAAATCATTTTATATTTTCCTCTTTTACTATACCAAGTTTACTTTTAAGATTCAAAGGTCACTATACCATGAGATAATAAGGTCATACGATTTTTTTATATAAAATATACAGAATATAATAAATAAATATCATAAATAGTTTTTTTTTTTAACTTTCGCACTGTTCATTTTCATAACTTTCATTGCTAAAACATGCTGTTAACTTACATTATTTAACCTGTTCTGCTATAAAAAAAAATAAAAAAAAATATACAAATAAATAAAAAACAAACAAACTGTTGGAACCCTTATTCCTTTACTTTTGCTCACTGAGCTACACACACTGAACAAGATACGTTTGAGGAGAAGTAACTCTTAAAGGAATAGTTCACCCAAAAATGAAAATTCTGTCATTAATTACACACCCTCATGTCATTCCAAACCTGTAAGACCTTCATTCATCTTTAGAACACAAATTAAGATATTTTGATGAAATCCAAAAGCTTTCTGACCCTCCATAGACAGCAATGAAACTAGTACGTTAAAGGCCCAGAAATTAGTATGACCAAAAATTTATATCACGGTATTTTTCAAAATTATACCGGTTTCACGGTACAAGACGGTATTTTTTTTTTCATGCATGACCGAGTGTTAACCATATTTTCTACTGATTGAGAGATACCAGAAATGTAGTAAAAATAATGACTTTATTTAACAATTTCTTCTCTTCCGTGTCACTCTCCGACGTGCATTCATGAGTGTACAACGTTGCATTTTTGTTTTCTTTGCGTGCAAAAAGTATTCTCATAGCTTTATAACATTACAGTTGAGCCACTGATGTCACATGGACTATTTTAATGATGTCCTTACTACCTTTCTGGGCCTTGAACGTGTCAGTTGCATTGCTGTCTATGCAGGGTCAGAAAGCTCTCAGATTTCATCAAGAATATCTTAATTTGTGTTCTGATTCTGATCTTAACGTGTTTGGAATGACACGAGGGTGAGTAATTAATGACAGAATTTTCATTTTTGGGTGAACTAACCCTTTAAGATGCATGAAGTGATGTACTAATATAATACACTGTATTCCAATGTCCTGCAGAGTTTAGCTCAAACAAACAAGCTTACCTGGAAGGCAACCTTGATTAGCTGGTTCAGGTGTGTTTAACCAGGGATGGAGCTAAACTCTGCTGTGCTGACCAAAACTGTAACCACAGGCATCCGCAGGAACGTTTACATTGACTGTTAGCGTTCAACATTTGACTGGCTTGATAACGAGGTATGGTTTTTTAGACGTATGCACCAAATAACGTACATTTTGAACCGAAATTGTCACCTAAAGCCGTTAGCATTTTACAGCTCGCCGTTTATTCGCTGGCTTTTCATTATCATTCTAAAACTGACAAAAAAAAACTAAAAAACTTGTTCCTCAAAACTCTGCCTCCTACAAACCAGTTTAACAGTCAGTCATCCGTGCACGAGAACTTTATAAGTCACCAGCCAGCACTCGTTTTAAATCAAACACCACAATTAAGTCTTAATTCTCCCTGACATATTAAACCTCTTAATCGCATATTAAATTTTATCCTTCGCTAAGCACCTTACCTTGTCGCTATTTCATTATCCCGTACGCTTACGGATATACAGACTCAGCAGATCGCTGACTTTTGACAAGACACATCAACAATCACTGCATCACAACCAACCTTGTGTAAGCTTGACTGACAGACGTAGAAGCCAATCAGCAACCGAGTTTCCAGTGCGCAAACGCGATTCCAGCCAATGAGGCCAAGGTAGCGTTTTACGTCGACAAAAAGCAGCTTCTTAGGATTCACGCATATTAAATGTTTAATAAGAATTATACGTTGTTTTGAGAAGAAGAAAAAAACTCCCTGCAACGTTCTGGGAAAGTTAGATTATAGCTAAAGAAAAAGAAAAAAGGAGCCTACAGTAGGTTCGTTTTCAGAACGTTCTTGGTTACAAAATAACCAAACGCTGCATTGAAACGTTAGCAGAACGTTCTATGTTTGCCTCCCTGCTACTTTTTACATATCACTTGAGAATGCCTGACCTGGAATAACCTTTTTTTCTAGCTAATCAGAGAACTAAGATGCATGAACATATTTACAAATGATTATAACTTCGGTAATGATCAATTATAACCCAACAGACAAGAAAAGGTTCATCATTTTGGACGTTTCTGTTGCTATTGTTCTCATTTCGTTGTAACTGGGAAATATTCATTCATTAAAACAGAAACATTTTCGTGGCGTTGCAACCAGAACATGTGTGTAACTTGCACTACTTTTTTCTTTTTCTACTACCAAGGCAAGTTGACCCAGAGCACGTGACAGCGCGGATTTTTTTATTTTTTATTTTTTATTGCAGTAAACAACAAGGATTACATTACGTACAAAACAAACAGTATAAAACAGTACGTACAAAACATACAAAATACCAATCAATAATATAGCGCGGAGTTTGTTGCTGTCACAGATTTGTAAAGTGTACTCACTGCCCACACTCCAGTCCAGTAGGTGGCGGTAAATGCACCTTTCAGTTGGTTTGCCAACCGCCAATAAAATTTAAAGAAGAAGAAGAAGAAGAAAAGTAATACAAAATCAAGCTTTGCGCATTTGCTGTGGTGCATTTAGATCTTCTCCGGTGGCTTCATTACAAGTTGAAATGGGAGAATTGCCTCTAGAACACCAGAAGAAGAAGAAGAAGAAGAAGAAAAGTGTACTCCGTACTGTGGAGCCGCGAGACAGAGCCGTCTGGAGCGCACACACCGAAAAGATGGAGCTGTCGGCGGTAGGAGAGCGGGTTTTCGCCGCGGAAGCCATCCTGAAAAGCCGCGTTAGGAAAGTGAGTAAGGAAGAACGGGGTTTAGCGGGTTTGGGGATGTTTTTCACGATGTACAGAGAGAGGGTCGTTTTTCGTTTGTCTCGCGATGCGGAGCTTCAAGGCGCCTGCAATGACAAGAGGGGGAGGCCTACTTGCAGTTGTTTCCCGATTTAGCGACCCAATACATTTACTTGCATTGTCAGATTGGAAATAACAAGTCGAATGTGGGACATTTGGATATGCAACTTGAGATTTATGTTGTAAAATTGGGTTGTGCTGTGCTGGGAACTGACAGCAGCCCGCTGAAAGAGCAGCAAGGAGGAGGCTAAAAAGGGACAAAGTGTCTGGCATGAGTCCATAACAAAATCAATGCATGCTGGCCGACATAAGATTCAAAGATCTCAACGATGCACGAGGGTCGAGTAGTTTCAGTACTGCACGGTGTCGTGCCACATGGTTTAAGGTGTTAGATGCACTGTATTAGTGGATATTTGGGTAAACACACTTTACTGAGCCCCAAAAATAAAATAAATGGGCATGAGGTTTGAAGTAGAGCACGTGTTGCTCATGCATGGTTTAATTCGTGTTAAATAAAGAACATTTTATGCTGTTTTTCTCTTTGCAGGGTCGAATCGAGTACCTGCTTAAATGGAAAGGTTGGGCACTAAAGTAAGTGTGTAAAATATAAATATCGCAATGGGTGTATTTTTATATTGTGCTGTTTATTTCAGTGTCGTACACTGTTTTCTAACTTTTTCTGTAGTTTGAGTGGAAAGGGACTTCATTTGGTTTCACTTAGGTCTGTTTCACAGTTTGTGCACAAGTAGTGTGTAAAGCGTAACACAGCTGCAGCTCCATAAGCTCTAAAATAAAGTGATCTGTGTGTTACTGCTTTGAATAAATCCTTCAATAACTGCCACGAATTCTAAAATGGTTATACAATTTATTTTAAACTTGATTGTCAAATCTAATTTACATAAGGATCAGTTTCCATCCAAATAGTAAGTAAATGACAACAAATGGACTCAAACCAGAGCTATAAACTGTTTACATTATGTGAATTCATTCTGATTTACTGAATCGAAAGTGTTTGTGTGCCGATTCCTGCGTGTCACTTTAGCGTGCATTGTGAAACAGGCCTTATCATTGCAGAAGTGCATTGTGGGTAGCTGAAAGGTCAAGCAGTGTTGTGACTTGACATACTACTAACTACATTTCTAAAACTATTTGCAATTACATGTTTGATTTGTTGTTATGCCTGCAGTTTTGATGAACTGATTTGAGTTTATATGGACAGTTTTAAAAATTGACGCTTTTATTTGTATTTGTCACATCATGGGACTAATTAAATGAACTGTAAAAATACAGCATATATAAATATATCACTTTTTAAACTGATAGTACTAAAACCTTGATGGGGGGGAAAAGAAAAAAGTTGATATTTCTTAAATACCTGTTACCATTTAAAAGATTTTAAATGTTTTGCAATGTAGACACAGCACATGGGAACCAGAGGGGAACATCTTGGATGATCGACTCATCACGGCCTTTGAGAAAAAGTAAGTATCACTTAAAGACTTAACTCTTAACTTTATTTCTATATGAAGTTAGAAAAATGTAGAGAACAAAAATATTTATTCCTCATAAAGTATGTATATAGATGCCCAACAGTTCATGTTTTCAATGTAAGAGCCAGGAAAAGATTGTTTACGTTTATTCTTTTTTCCTCGCTTGATTTATTTTTGCAGCTTTATGCTGCCAGTTTGACTGGAAACTAGCCTCTCTGGTGGATTTTTAAACAAAGATGACTTGCATTATGCTTCAAAGCCTTGCATTTGGATTGTTATGGTTTGGGCTTGACACTAAAGTGATGTCATATTTTCCTTGGCTTAAATGGTGCTGTCCTACAATTCATAGGGAGCGGGAGCAGGAACTTTACGGCCCAAAGAAACGTGGACCTAAACCGAAAAACTTTGTACTAAAGGTTGGAAGTTTCTTAAAATGTTCTTTGAAATGAATCTAATCCATTTTCAAATGTTTAAACATTTTAATACATTTAGTACATGTTGAGTGTTTCATAACATATAAATAAACTTTTAGTCTGATGTTTTAGTACCTCCCAGTCATATTTGCTCTCCACCTATCTAGGCACGGGCACAGGCGGGTGATAAACCTCGGAGCTCAAATACCCAACGCACTCCACCTCGCACCACTGCGAAGCCTCCCGCCTCTTCCTCTTCTGCAAGTGCAGCTCCTCCTCAGCCTTCATCATCCTCTTCCTACAACACTGCTCCAACCCCCAGAGTGCACTCTCTCGCCGCTGCCCATAAACTGAAGAAAGACATCCATCGTTGTCATAGGATGTCTCGGCGACCTTTGCCACGACCCGACCCCCTAGGTGACCCCACGGGAACCACATCCTCATCCCGTCCTCCCATCTCTCCGTTCTCTGAAACTGTCCGCATCCTCAACCGCAGGGTCAAACCGCGGGAGGTTAAGCGAGGACGCATAATCTTGAACCTGAAGGTCATTGACAAATCCCAAATCCCATCCCGGAATCGCATCATTGGGAAAAAGCATGGGGACATGCCTTACAGGCCTTTCCAGCATCCTATGAAGATGCTGGGCCTCCCGATGTATGGCCAACCATTCGGGCTTAACCCCTGTGGGTCAATGTCCTCCATGGCCAATGAAGGATCCAACACCGGAGTCAATCGGAGAGGCGGAGGCTGCTGTGATAGCCATTCCTCTGCAAATGCGCAGAAGTTTCAATATCAGCCTCCACCTTCTCCATCCAGCTCCAGTGGGTCTAACAACAGCTCCCCTTCACCTCAGAAACAAGTGACTCAACCTGAAGCTCCAACTAAATTGGACTCTGCAGCCTCATCACGTTCCCGAGATGCCTCCCAACCTCACCCAAAGTCCAGCTCTGCGCCATTCCTCCCTTCCTCACCCTCCTATTCGTCCTCCTCTCTTGAAGGCGAAAATCAGGGCTCTCCGAATCTCGTCACTTCTCGGGGCGGAAAACGGAAACTTCGACATCGAACCCAGGTGGGTCGAGCTTCGGTCTGCCAGGTTAGTGACCGCAATACTGCCCCACTTCCTGAGGAAAACAGGGTGCCAAAAGAGGGGGATCCCGATTGGCACCCTGAAATGGCACCCAGCTGTGCCAATGTAGTCGTGACTGACGTCACTACAAACCTTCTCACAGTCACCATCAAGGAATTCTGCCATTCGGGAGCTGGTTCTGAACCCTCCTCCCCTTGCCAAGCTGACAAACCACCCTGTCCCACCACAGCTGCCTCTTGAAAGTTCCCCCTAAATGTCTCCAATAAAAATATCTGCCCACTAAACACCAAGAGAACTTGCCATAATGAAATTCACGCACCCTAAATTAGTTGCCGTTAATGAAATTAAAATGTATTTTTTGGGTGAAATTAAGATATATTGAAATAATATTTAAAGGCAGAGGTGCTTTCCTTGACCTGTAATTTTTAAACAACATGTTATGATGGTTTTGTAGTACTTCATGCTTTTTTCCCCCTCTTTTTTTCCCCAGTGATCCTGTCTTTCCACAGCCTTTTTTCCCAAGTAATTGCACCTTGTCTTGTCACCTCCAGTCTTGTAGAGACCACCATTCCCATATCTCCAGACCTAAAGCTCAGAATCCACCCAAGAAATGTTGATCTCAACAGCTTTTTTGGACTCGAGATGTTGCACCAAGACATTTGTAATCTTTTGAGGTCCATTTTCATTGGGATACCGAACACAGGATGCTTTGGAAGTTCTGCCATGAACTTATGAAGTAATGTCATACGCCCATTTAGGCATCCAACCCATGCATTGA